CGACTTCCGGCCCGCGCCATGTTGCTGCGCCCCCTGCCGGCCGGAGGTCGCAGCGGGGCAGAGCCCCAAAAACTGATCAAACCGCCCCAAAACAGGGCATAGTCCCCCCCAAAACCGAGCAACGTCCTCCCAAACCGAACACAGCTCCCCTACCCCCCAAAACCTGGGAACTCCCCGGGCCCAGCCCGCCTGCAAGGTGTCTGCTGCACCACACACACAGGGCTCCCCCCAAGCCACGACAAACCGCCAAGGAAAGGGGGTAACAAATGTGATTTTAATAAAAAACAATCAGTCTGGCCATAAACATTAAATAGAATTATGTACATGAACAGAGAGAAGTTAAACATGGAATGACAGGGATTCATTTCTCGAGCGAAGGCGAAGCGGCACCTCCCTCCCAGCGTGAGGCCCTCAGGGAGCACGAGGCTTCCCCCCCTCAGCTCCTCCACAAAAACAGGCATTTACAGCCCAAAATGTTCCAGGTTAGGGATCACAGCAGGATTTCTTTCACCCCTGGAGAATAAAACCTGCTTCACCTTTCCTGGCATCCAAGGACAGCGCAAGGGGTGGAGTGAACGTACAGCAGGTGGGTCAGCAATTTTCTTAGGTTTTAGCTGATGAGGATTCAGATTTTTTTATGCTGAGGATTAAAAATTCGTTGCTTTTTGTAGATATTGGTATGCAGTATTTTTGCAATTTATTTGTGTTATGTTTGGGCATATAAATAGTCAGAGCAGGCCTAACTTTTGAGCGAACACATTATTTACCTATGTTGACCTTAATTTAAATTACATCTATTTCGATTTGCTGAAAATCCTGTCTAATATTAACAAATTTAAAGCTTCTGAATAAATACTGGTGCTGACAGACCTAAGCCGGAATATTTTGCAGCCCAGCCTTGGACACCTGTAACATGAGACTATCAAATAATCAGTAAAAACCCCAAAACTGTAAAATTAAAACATTAGCTTCTTGTTTTCATGCCACAAACAAACACCTATCTTAGGAGTCAGAAATGCAACACTAAAATTACAGCAGGAAGCTTTAACAGAAAAGATGAAGCAGAAAGCAGGGTTGTTTGCTTTAAAGAGGCATAGTCAAACTCTGCTCCCTAAAAATAATTCTGCAAGTATCAAGATAAATATGAGGTTCTCTACACTAAAAAAGGGAGTCGGACTAGATTACCTGAAAGCCTGGAGTCTGACCAGAAAACTACAAGTTGAAAATATGACCCAATTTAGCTTCAGTAGAGATTTTCCCAGATGACCAGCATTTAAGCTGACTGTTCAGAAGGACAATTCCTTCCTCTTGCTGTGCAAAATTCATATGAAATTGAAAACAAAAGCAGTCACGAGCTTGTGGCTTCATCTGGTGACAGGATTCATCTGCATTTCTCTTCACCAAAAATGGCTGGACATCCACAGGAAAATATATAAAGTTCTACTCTCCCTTCATACATAATTACAGGGTGGTTTGTGTGGGAAGGGACCTTTCAAGGTCATCTGGTCCAACCCCCCTGCAGGGAGCAGGGACATCAGCAACTAGAGCAGGGTGCTCAGAGCCAAACTCACCTGGAATGGGGCAGGTTCCAGGGATGGGGCATCCACCACCTCCCATGTAGGAGTTAACATGTTATTTTTTATTTCACTGTAGCATATGTGATTTAAAGAGGAATGGCTACTCTGATTTCACTGGGGAAATTTGAGAAAAACATCAAAAAAGTTACATAAAT